CTTGAATGCATTGCTTAAATATAGCATATAGGCAATTTGTAACAGATTTTGTACTGTTATTTTTATTTATGTTGTAGTGTAATATTAAGATACTAAACTTATGTTTATATAGTAAAGCAGTAGTACTTTGTACCTAGGATAATGATGTCCATCTCATTCCACCATCTTTCTTTAGAAATTTCTCAGCAGCTCAATTAGAAACTATCACCATGAAGAAATAAATAAATAAAATTTTAAAAAATGAATAAAAACTGGAACAAGACAGGGATTCCCTCTGTCACCACTTATATTTAACATAGTTCTTGAAACATTAGAGCAATTACACAGATGGAATTAAAGGGATACGGATAGAAAAGGAACTCAAACTATCACTATTTGCCACCAACGTGATTCTATACTTAGAGGATCATAAAAATTTCACCACAAAACTTCCACAACTAATAAATGAATTCAGCAAAGTAACAAGATATAAAATCAATACTCATAAATCAAAAGTATTTATGTACATCAGTAAGAAATCCTCTGAAATAGAAACTAGGAAAACTATCCCATTTATGATAGCCTCAAAAAGATAAAATACTTGGGAATCAACTTAATGAAAGAGGTGAAAGACATCTACAATGAAAACTACAGAACACTAAAGAAAGAAATTAAAGAAGATCTTAGAAGATGGAAAGATCTTCCTTGTTCTTGGATAGGCAGAATTGATATTGTCAAATATTTTTTTAAATTTTTATTGTGACTCATTCTTTAATATTACTGTAAAATCCATTTATATGCCTTAAGATGAACTGTTTTCATTTTGATGTTTTCAAAATTTACACTGTCTTCAAGTACTTGATTATATTATGTCTTAGTGAAGATCTCAGTATATTTAATATATTTGAAATTACTTGGGCTTCAGGGACCTGGACATTCACTTCTCTCTTTGGACATGAGAAAATTTTTCTCAGTATTTCTTTTAATATGCTCCAGTCCCTTTATCTTTCTCTGCCATTCAGGAAAGGGAAAAATGTATGCATTAGTTTGCTTGACAGTGTCCCATAATTCTCATAGGCTTTTTTATTCTTATTCAGTTATTTTTTCTTTTTGCCTTTCTCCTAATTTTGCCAAGTAGTTTGTTATTTTTCTCTTTTCTAATTGATCAAATCTGCTGTCAAATCTCTCTATGGATTTTTTTTTCCAGTTTAGTCATTATATTCTTTAGCACCAAAATTTGTTCGGTTCTTCTTTATGGTTTCCATCTCTTTGTTGAACTCTTTTCATTTTCTTTGGGTATTGTTTTCCTGATTCCATCCAGTTTTCTATCAGTATTTTTCTTGCAGCTCACACTGAGTTTCTTTAAGATGATTGTTTTGAATTCAGTTTTAGATAATTTCTAAATCTCCATTTCTTTGGGGGTAGGTTATTGGTATTTTACATTGTTCCTTTGATTATATCATATTTCCATGGTTGTTCATGATCCCCATGGCTTTGTATTTGTGTAGATGCATATTCTACTTTTTATAGACTGATTTTGGTAGGTAAAGCCTTCCACTCTTTAACCCATCAAGAAACTCTTGACAGGTCTTCTGACATAGTCCAGAGGTGGGTTTGTGACTAAAGTCCTTAGGCAGGCTTGCCTGGTGCCTGAGCTCTCTGAGATGGTCTGAAGTCTGGATCCACAGGGACTGAGTTAGCATAAATGACCATTGAGCCTGAGTTTTCAGAAGTTTGTCAGATCCCGTAATGTCTCTACAACTTGGATTCTTGGATATAACCCTTGAGCCTGAGTTCATAGAAACTGGCACTCACTGGGATAGTCCTGGAGCCTTAGTCTTGGGACTGGGTTCCTGGGGGTTACCCTGTAGTCTGGGTCTGTAAAGAGGATTCTGGAGCCTCAATTTGCCTGGCCTGGACTGAATGCCAGGGTCTACTTAGGTGAGTCTGCAACAGACCTCTACCCTGAGTCTACTAGAGTCTTGGGCAAGCCTGGTACTGGAAAAGCCTATAGCTTGCATTCAGGGAAGCTAGTCTAAAACCTGAGTCTGTGGGAGTTCATTTGGGACAGTATGGCATTGGGCTCCATAGGTGGATCTCGAACCTAAGTTCATTTAAGTAAGCCTGGATTTTGCAAAAGCTGAAGTGTGGAATTTCAGGATCTGGCTTCTTTCCTGGGGCTTCAGAAACCTGCCTGGCTCTGGATTGGCTTTGAGTCTATGTCTGGGGGAACCAGTCTGGAGGCTGCTGGATGTACAGGTTCTACTCTGTAGCCTGGTGTCACAAGTACTGGCACAGTGCTAGTGTACATGTTTGCCAACCTAGGCCTATTGTGGATATAGAATTTTGGTTCAAGGATGCTGACTTGAAACTTGAGACTATGGCAGCTTGCCTGGCACTGGTATGACTCTGAATGCTGGGGTCATGTGGGCTGGCCTGGTAATAATATATCTTGCCCAGGTCTTCCAATGCTGGCTTTGCATTGGCTGGACTTAGAGCCTGTATTCATGGGGACATTTCTGAAGACTGGGTCTTCAGGTACTTTCCTGGTTTTTGGAGGCACAGGGGCATAGCTGGAACTGGATCTATGAGAGTCAAACTGGAATCTGGAACTATAGGAGCCAACACAGGTGAGATTCATGTGAAAATCAATTCACTGAAGTGTAAGGATAAGATATTAGAATGTCAATTTATATATTTCACTTCATCTTTGAAACTTTTTACCTTGATTTATGATTAATAGTGCATGTAGTAGACAAAGAACTATATGTACAACATATCGAGTTGTCCTCAAAATGGTGTATTGATAAAATTTTTCCAAAAATAAAATTTAGAAAATAAAACTTCAGACTGTGAGAAGGAAGACAAAAATCAATGCCAGTATAAAATCTTTCTTCCCCCAATAAAAGGGTAGAAATACAGACATCTTGGCAGATTTCTACACTGTTAAATTTTCAGGGATGCAGCTCATGATACCATCTATATACTGAATTGAATTAATACATACTCATCAAAGACTCTCCATACTGCTTTCCAGAGTGATTGCACCAATTTACAGTCCCACCAGCAATGTATGAGTGTACCTTTTTCCCCACATCCTCACCAACATTGACTGTTGCTTATATTCTTGATAATTGCTATTCTGACCAGAGTGAGATGAGATCCTAGAGTAGTTTTGATTTGCATTTCTCTAATTGCTAGACATGTGGAACATTATTTCATATATTAGTCTATTCTATTTATTCATCTGTGAAGTGATGGTTCAGTTCTTTGCCCATTTATTGATTCATTTATTTGATTTTTTAGTGTTAATATTTTGGATTCTTTATGTATTCTGGAGATTAATGATCTATTGTAGGTGCATGTGGTAAGGATTTTCTCCCAATCTGTAGGCTCTCTCTTCACATTATTGAATTTTTTTCCATTGCTGAGAAGAAGATTTTTAGTGGAAATTCATAGCATTTATCGGTTTTTAATTTTACTTCTTGCACTTTAGGGGTCTTGTTAAGGAAGTCAGATCCTAAGCCAACATGGTAAAGATTTGGGCCTACTTTTTCTTCTGTTAGGCACAAGGTCTCTATTCTACTGCATAAGTTTTTGGTCCATTTTGAATTGAGTTTTGCACATGGTTTAAGATAGGGGTTCAATTTGATTTTGTTACATATAGATTTTTAATTTTCCCAGTACCATTTGTTGAATAGGTTATCTTTTCCGCAGTCAATGTTTTTGGCAGCTTTGTCTAGTATGAGATAACTGTATTTATGTGGGCTTGTCTCTGTGTAGTCTATTCTGTATCATTGATCTAGGACCCAACTCATTCCACTCCTTGGTTTATACCCAAAGGAGTTAAAATCAGCATACTACAGTGACACAGCCATATCAATGTTTGTAGCAGCTCAACTCACAATAGCTAAACTATGGAACAAACATAGGTGCCTTTCAACAGATTAATGAATGCAGAAATTGTGGTATATATACACAATTGAATATTACTCAGCTTTAAAGAAGAATAAAATTATGGAATTTGCAGGTAAGTGGATGGAGCTGCAGAATATCATACTAAACAAAATGAGCCTATCCCAAAACACCAAAGGACAAATGTTTTCTCTGATATGCAGATTTTAATTCACACTGGAGAGGGGGCTAAGGAGAAACTTTGGATTAGGAAGAGGGAAGTGAAGTATGGAGATAGGAAGAATAGTAGAATGAATCAAACATTATTACCCTATATGCATATATGACTACATGACCATGTGATTTTGCAATCATACACAACAAGAATGAAGAGTTATGCTGTATTTATTTATGATGTGTCAAAGTTCATTCTACTGTTTTGTATAATTAGAACACACCAAATATTAAAATATACTTATTATGCTCATCAAGTTTCAGAATTGTTAGTGATATATTTTATATTATGTATGACATATATGAACTCATGAAATAAAGTTACTAGTAAAAAAAACACTAGTAGGTCATTGATTAATGTTTTTGAAAAAGTACAAATTTCAGAAATCTAAAATGTTTTCATTTTCAACACTATTTAGAGAAGTGGTTCTTAAGCAGATATCAGTATCAAAACCACCTGTGAGATTTTAAAAAATATATACTTTATCAACCTAATCTAGAGATTGTAACCCAATCTAGCGATAGTTCTCTGATATTTTTCATTTTTTTAAATTTCCAAATTCTCTTTTTACATCTAGTTTACAACCACTAGCTTAGAAACTGTTTTACTCAGTGTCTTTTATAGATTTTTTAAAGTTAGTTGTTATTTAATGATACATAAGGACTGTGTTTTATGCTGGGTATTAGAGCTTTATTTTGGAAGTGAAAATAGTTTTGACTCAAATATAAATAGATTTCACTATTTTGATTTACTTTATTTTGTGTTTAAGAATTGATAATGAGAGATTGCATGGATTTACAAAGTGTAGTTATTGAATGATTATATTTATGGCTATTATTATTGATAATATAAATTCAATTAAAACATTTTTCTTTTTTTTGACAGACAAGACATGAACATCAGAACATATGCTAATCCCATTCCAAGTAAGAACTTAGTCTTTGAAGTTCAATTATTTTTTACATTTTAAAATAATTTTATGGCAGGATTTTATTCCATTTGCGGTTGAATGAAACTCCATTGTGTATGTGCCATGTTTTATTTATCCATGTCTCCTAATGGACACCTGAGTTGGTCTATAAATGGGTTATTGTGAATTGTGCTATCTTATAGGTATACACGTATTTCTCAAATATGTTGTCCTTAATTCTTTTGGGTATAGCTAGATTGTATGGTAATTCCATTTTTAGGTTTTTGAGGAGCCTCTGTGCTGTTTCCCACAGTGGCTGTAACTATCTTCCTCCCCACCCACAGTGTATAAGGTTTCCTGTTCCCACACCTCCTCACCAGCATTTATTTATATCCTTGATGATTGCCGTTCTGACTAGAGTGAGATAGAATCTCAGTGTGGTTTGGATTTGCATTTCCCTGATGGCCAAAGATGTTGAACACTTTGTCACATTGCTCACTTTCCGTTGCTCATTTTCAGTTCTTTTAAGAAGTATCTGCTTAGTTCATTTCATCATTTATTGAATGGTTTGCTTTTTGGTGTTGCTTTTTTTTTAGTTCTTGTTATATTCTGAATATTAATCTTCTTTCAGAAGAGTAGCTGGCCAAGTTTTTCTACCATTCTGTAGACTTTCTCTTCACTCCAGTAATTGTTTCCTTTTTGGAAAGCAAAGAAGCTTTTTAATTTGATGCCATCCATTCACTGATTCTTGATATGATTTTCTGAGCTGTAGAAGTCCTATTCAGCACATTGTTGCCTGTGCCAACATGTTGGAGAGTTTCCCCTGTTTTCTTCTAGCAGTTGCAAGCTTTGGTCTTATACCTAGGTCTCTGATGCATTTCAAGTTGACTTTGGTACCCTGTGAGAGGTAGGGACCCAGGTTCATTCTTTTACCTATGGATATTCAGTTTTCCCAGAACCAT